TCTGTCTGTTAATTAAATGCTGTAACTTATCTTTGGCTCAGAGTGTGTGTTGGTGTGGGACGAGGGGGGTCAGAACAGATATGTTATATCAGAAATGTGAATTGTTGGTTTTATTAAAGTTCTTGGTTTCTGCCCAATCAAAATAGATTTTTTTTAAGTTTGTTTTTTGAGTTGCCAGAGCAAAGACAGACTTAGATATCTCAACAAAGGAAAATTGATGATTAGAATTCTCCTGGAAATAGATAAAGAACCATGCCATGGATGCATGATTTATTGGTTTGGACCTCCACTGATTCCCATGAAGTGTCTCAAAACCTTTTCCCCACAACCCCTCTCCGGTTAACCCTTATTACATTGTAACAGCTAAGGCGAAATGTCCATCGATCTGAGTGACCTTGAGTTGGCCACGCTCACCCAGTCACATGACCACCGAGTCCCACCTACCCAGATGGTCATTAGGGCAGAGAACCGGTTGTTAAATTATTTGAATCCCACCACTGCTACAATGCTACAGGATAGATTTAAGGACTTCTATCTGCTGCATCCAAAAGCCAGTCCCACTCTCTGTACCAATATGGTGAGGTTTAACAGGGAGGAGGTGCAAAGCCTGTACTGATTCACCAGAAGGCTGTGTCAACTGTGTACAAGCACATGGATGTGGATGTCACAAACAAAACAAAAAGCACACCACAACTGAAAGAGAAAAGAAAAGGCTGAATGCATCGTCTCTGGGTAAGCTCTTCCTTAAAAACAATTTCAATTTGCAAAGAAGAGATAAGTAACTCCAAACCAAGGGGCGATTCAGAAACAGAAAAGTGACTTGCATTGAGTGTCACTCAAAAAAGGACACCAAGATCTGGCACCACATACCCTCTCCTCCGAACGGATAAAATGTCGGAGATCTCCATGCTTCATGAAAGGGAGAACCACCAAGGGAAGACCTTCCTTAGGCAAGGTGATCCCAATGAGAGAAAGGACATGGAGGTGATGGAAGCTCTTCATCAGAATCCCTTCCTTCAGGAATTCTTCTACTTCCTCCAAATCATTAATTCCTAAGAGGAAAAAATGAAAAGATAGGATCAATATTCTCAGTAGCAACACCCCACCCCTCCAAGATTTAAGAAATTGTGAAACTGTGAGCAAAAGTTTCTGAGAAGTGAACTTGTAAGCATATAAGCTGGAGTAAACGATCCTAGGAAAAAACAGCGTATCGAGAGCCTTTTCGAACTTCCATCAAGCAGAGGAAGTCTGCCAATGGGAATAAGGATGGAAGATATTGCCAGAGTAAAAAACAAGCATACGTTACAATACTGGACTGGGTTGGCTCGTAGGCATCTCTACTTTTTATGTTTGAAAGGACTAACAAAGGACGAATGGCTCCACAGATTGCCTTGTGTTGATTTAAGGCTTAATTCAGATTATTAGAAACAGAGTATTCTTACTTCCCTAGGCCAACTCTCAGTTTAGAATTAATTCCTTCTCTCCTTACGAGCTTCTCCAGAGATACTTTAATGGTGTTGTCTTACAAACACAAAGCTGTGAGCTGAAGTATTTGTTTGTCTGTTTATTTATTTAATCCTGCTGTTATTATTTTAAAGTTGAGTGAATTGGTACTTCCCCACTCCCCACTCCTATTCCTCTTACTGTATTCAAAAACATTGATTGATAGGGCATTGCAAACTGGCAGCAAAACTCTGTTGCAGAAAATACCATTAAAATGACTGATTAAGTAGTTTTAAAATTAAGAGCCACTTGCCACGACCTAGTTAATGTGCTATTTACCTGCCCATATGCCAGAACAAAATGTGTTTCTCCTATTGTCAATTTCTCTATAAATTCTCTTCTGACTTACAATCAAACAGTGGATTCTTTGATTTGGGCATGCATGACATGTTAAGCAACGTTGATTACACCCTCTGGCTTGGTTATCCTCCCTCCACTGACAAGACATCACAAGACTGCTGGGCTTATTGATGCCTTGATGGATAACTGGACTCATGGGGTTAAGTTTCTGTCAAAACCTACCATCTCCTCAAAACCTTCCAAGCAGACAAAAAACAGGCAAACCTCGTTATTTTAAATGTACCCCTTCCTGGAACTGAGGATGAGCTACCTGGTGTTAGTTAATAGTTAAACCTATTACTTGGACAAAAGAAGCCACCAGAGCAGACAAGATGCTAAGCTTTTCTATTAGCTGTTGCTTCAGAAGTGTGCTGGCAGCTGTGCCATGTTTCCGCCTCCGGAAGAAAAAGAACGGAGGAAGAGGAAAACTCTGTTGGGAAGAAGTGGGCACTTAGCAGCTCAAAATGACAATAAACTTGGCTTAATAACTGCAGCAAGACTGTTGGTGGTGCAATACTGGAAGAAGGAAGACTTGCCTACAATCCAAGAATGGACATTGAAAGTCACAAACTTAGCCGAGATGGCTAAAATATCGGCATATCTTAAAGATCACTCAAATGAGAGATATAAACGAGACTGGAAAAAATGGATTGACTATATACAAAATAAATACGGGACCAAGAAATTCCAGTTAGCCTATGCTTAAGATCAGAAATGATTTAAACTGTTTAAAGTTAGTTCAGTAAGAAGAAGCTAAGGTCAATGTAGAATGTCATTAATTTCTTTATTTCTTTTTTCTCAATAGATTTTAGACTGTGTTAGTTAAAAATCCATACTGTGTATGGGTTCTGGGAAGTCGGGGGGGGGGAAGGGGGGGGGGGACGGGGGGGCCGGAGGGAGGGAGGGGCATACAAAAAAAATTGTACTTCAATGTTTTAATGATTGACGAATGATGAAATAGTTGTGTTTTTTAAAAGAAATAAAACCTTTTTTCTGAAAAAAAAGAAGAAAAAAAATGACAATAAACTTGGCTTATCGTGCCCACTTTTTGGTCAGCTGACTTACACTGCTACCAGCAGCTACAAGTGTGACAGGCCCTGAAACTGCCATTGATTGTTACTGGGTGGAGGCAAAAACACTGATTTAACACTGGCATATTTAAGCAGGACTTAAGGCTACCTCAGATATGAACTGAGGAAGCGGTGAAGACAACCCCAGGGGGACCTGACAGAATATTCTTAATGCCAGGAGCTGTTTACATTAGTGACAAGATGAAATGGAAAAGGCCCGATGCCCGTCTTCTCGTGCTATGTTACAGAACAAACTTAAGAAGAATGCACAGAACCTCAATGCTCCCCAGCCCCACTTTGCCCCCTTAAAAGTTATCTCAGAATTTATCTGGTAATAAAAATGCCGGTCTTTGCCTTTGAAACAGAATCTGCTTTAGTCTAGCTCTAGGTGCACGATGCCTCTAGTAAAAACGTCTCTTAGTATAACATAAGCAACTAAGCAAAAACAAACAGGACAGCACTGATGTCTGTAGAAGTTGTTTATGCCAAGATGGAAGATATTCTCCTTTTGTAAATGTGTGTGTGTGTGTGTGTGTGTGTGTGTGTGTGTGTGTAAATTCAAGTTAGTGTTAACTCTTGGCAAAGACCTAAGGGGGAACAAGAATTCATGGTGCCCTGGTTTCTAGCCTTGTGCTTTAAACCACTAAACCAAACTGGCTCCTTATAGATTATGGAACACTATTTTTTTTTTAAACAAGACATTATTGTGTCTCATATTTTATCATGAGCTTTTATGATCCCCTAAATTTCTTTTCTACGTTAATAAACTAGTTCATTAGTTACTAGTTCCAGATTTATTAATTAGTTTCATAAAAGAAAGAGGAATTACTTACGGTTTAGGGATTTAACAGCACACCGAATCTCTCTCTGGGATGAATCTGTGTAAGTTCCATGGTAAACGCTCCCAAAATGTCCTGGATGGAAAAAAGAACAAGATTTACAGATAGGCACCAATATCAACATTAGCAAACCCAGATGCTATACAACTTCTGTCTGTGCTGGAGCCATCTTAACATCAAATTACAATACTATAAAGAGATACAATTGTTTTAAGTGTTAAAAATATACCGAATCTGAAATAAAAAAATAGATTTGCCCCAACTAACAGACAACTCAGTGCCAACACAATTTATATCCAACTATATCAATACTCAATCATATTATTTGACTTAATAGCATACATTTGTCTCAGTTTTAAGCTATCTAACTTGCTTTTAATTTTTTTCAATTTAGCATGCCTACACATCATCAGACTTTTGCCTGTTTATATAGGCAAGTGCAGTTGCATGCAAATATTTAAGCACCTTCATCAAAGTGTATGTTTTAGTGATTTCCTAAGTGAAAGAAACTAATAAAATACACTATCTACGTGGTACAGGTAGTCCTTGACTATAACCACAACTGAGCCCAAAATTTCTTTTGTTAAGTGAGACATTGGTTAAGTGAGTTTTGCTCCATTTTACAACCTTTCCTGCCACAGTTGCTAAGTGAATTTAGATCTGCTATTGACTTTGTTTGTCAGAAGGTCACAAGGGCTGATCACATGACCCCGGAATATTGCAACAGTCATAAACATGAATCATTTGCCAACCATCTGAATTTTGATCACATGGTCATGGGGTTGTTACAAAGGTTGTAGGCGTTGTAAGTGTGAAAAATGGTCCTAAGGCACTTTTTTCAATGCTGTTGTAACTTTAAATGGTCACTAAATGAACTGTTGTAAGCGGAGGACTACTTATACAAAGTTAATACACAACAACTTTGTGTATATTTTAATTTCATACTAATTATTTTTGCCTAGCTACTGTATTTACAAGTTCAAAATAAGAAAATAAATACGTTAAGCACAGAAATTTGGGTACACTTCCAGTTCATTCAATGTTATTTTTTCTTTTATTTCTCTACTGTAAACCCGTTAATAAGGTTAAAAAGGTGATTGATTCTTTTAGGTTAATAACTAGCCAGATAAAGACATGAGCAAATCTTTGCCCCTTCTAATCTTACAGATTGTGATTCTGTCTACTCTTCTATCAGTTCTCAGAACATCTATGAATGAAGACAAAATTAAAGCTGTAAAAAACCTCCTAAACATTTCTAATTACAACTGTCAAAACCATTATTAGAAAAATGGAAATTACTTGGAACAGATGTAAGTCAAGGCAAGATTTGGAAGACCAAGAAGGTATCAACTAGAAATGAATGAAGACTTTGTCAAACATGAAACAAAGAAGTAGGAAGAGAATGGAAATACTTGAAATAAAAATAAGATTTTAGGAAGTGTCATTTTAGTCATTTATGTTCAATGAAAGTTATTGCCCTAACTTAAATGCCATTTTTATCTTGAGATGAAGAAATCATAATTATTTTTAAAATTGATGCCAACTGATTATTTGTAATAATTACTGCTCAGATATTTTATAATTTTTCTAAATGATGCAAAATATTCAATTTCTGTTTTTAAAGTTTTGATCTATATGGTAAAGACAGGCTATATAGTTGATATCCTTTTGGAAATCAGATAAATATACATGCTATCATTGAATTCTAATGTGGATTTTGGATGCAAATCTCCAAGGTGTCTTCACCATTTCTTCCCACCCACCCCCATTCCGATTAACCTGTATTCTACAATAATTACCAACATAAACCCCAAGAATTTCAGAAGGATTTAAATCTATTAACCTTATTATAAATGATCACATAGTAGAAACATCACAACAATAAAACAAATATGTGCATATGTAGACACATACACTATTGAAAAAGTATTGGAGTGCTGTAAGAATGCAGGAAACAGCTATTGTAACAGTACAATAAAAAATAAGCCAAATTGGAGTTCTTATTAGAAAATACCAGGCAGTGAAGAAATGTCAATCTTTATTTTATTTTGTCACAAAAAGAAATTGATTCCTGGGAGATGGTTTAAAATAATGTGCTCATTTAATGAAAGAAAGAGATACGATATTCTAAATTTTGGTATGAACTATTAAATAGTCCTGGATAATCTTTTGTAACTACCGTACCCAGGCCTATACTGATCTAAAGAGTGAAGAAATGAGGAACTTTAAAAGATGAAAGAACCAGGCATTTCCTGGCATATGGATGCAGTGGAATTAATGGAATGGCTGGAATTCATGTAAAATAAAGAGAAATGAAAGAACTGGGGCCTAGTCTGAGTAAGTAAATCCAGATCTCTAGACTTCGGAAAGTGCTTCTAAAATCAAAAACAGTAAACAAATGCGGTCAGTTTAAAAATAAGCAAATAACCAAAAACAATGAAAAAAGTTGTGTCCAACAAACATTTCCTGTTCTTGATACTCAATCTTGTCAGATTGAGCAGAGAAATAGATATTTGTGCTCAAGAGCAGTGAGCTATATTATATGGCCTTTCAAATTGATTTAGATTGCAGTGAAGTACCCTTTTGGACAAAGCATAAGAGTATGGCAACAACAAATGCCTTTTCTTTCAGTTCCTCTCAGATTTTCACTGCGCTTTCCATTTTGATTTGACAGCAAGACAAATTCTCCAATGATCTAGCACTGCATAGGCTAGTCCAGAGCAGGGGTGGGTTTCTCGCCCCGTTCCAACCGGTTCGGTTGGAATGGGGCCGGCGGCGTCCTCGTGCACGCGCGCAGTGCACTCATGTGTA